GAGAGAGAGAGAGAGAGAGAGAGAGAGAGAGAGAGAGAGAGAGAGAAAGAACACACATTTTACATCATCATTTATAGTATAAGAGGCCATGCCCAAGTGGGTGGGTAACTTAAAGGCTGTAGGATTTACAGCAGGTTACAATCCATAAAACAGTATAAGAATCTAAAAATCCCATACCAGGTATAAATTTATTAACTGATAAATAACCATATAAATATAATCAAGAAATATTTGGAGTAGAGAAACCTGGCATATTTCCAATTTGACAAGGGGTCAAAGATCATGGTCAAAATATATCACATGCTGACAGATGTCGTTCCACTCAAGTTTGTTAGAACCTGCTTGAAAAGTAAAGGGACTGCCTAAAACAATCACTGGGTGGTGGTGGGGATTGCAATCATGTTCAATTTCATTTGTGAACACACACACACAGACACACACACACACACATACACACACACGCATGCACGCACGCACACACACACGTACTTTTTCTTGGTTTAGAGCTATAAAAATATCCTTGGCTGTCATTTCTAGTTTCAGTCTGTTGCTGTGATAAAATCCTCTGACAGAGTTTCTTAAGTGAGGAAAGGTTTTCTTTGACTTACACTCCCAGGCCACAGCCCATCACTAAGGGATGTCAAGGTAGGGACTAAAGGCTGGAACTTGAAGGTAGACCTGCTTGCTATTCTACACATTATTGACTTGAATTAAGGAACCCACGTTATAGCCAAAAAAAGACAGCAGGAGCCCTGGAGAATGTTGCTTGCTTGCTGGCTCACAGGTTGGCTTGTACTTAATTTTCTTATATAGTTGCCGGCTGCCTAGAGATGGTGCCACCCACAGTGGGTTGGGCCCTTCAACATCAATTAATAATCAAGACAATCCCTCACAGACGTGACCCAGGGCAGCTTGATCTAAGCAATTCCTTAGTGGAGGCGATCCTCTCAGATGACTCTAGGTTCTAAGTTGACAGTTAAATCTAATCAGACGGTATCAACAAAATCAAATCAAAACAAACCCCTTCTCACAGTTGGAGTTCCCAGTCCTTGGACAAACAGTTGAATATGTATCATCTTATATTCCCCCCCCCCAGAATTCTAAAAAGGTATGCAAACAAATTATGGTTTTTCTAAACTCAAATGGATGCCTATTGCTTCAGAGGCAGGAAAGCATAGGGAATAGCTTAGTACCTGGGACTCCACCTGTCTTAGGCTATGCACACATTGTTTTCTAACAATGCACTTGACAGCTCGAGATTCTTACCTAAATATACTATTCACTACCTTCTTTCTAAACAACGCCCTGGGCAACTTGTCAGCAGCGTAGAACCCCCGGGCTGTAAGCACACCCCTCTCTGAATGGGGAAATACGTTTCCGCTTCCCTTAATGGCAATCAAAACACCAGGTTTTTTTAAATTATACTTTCCTTATGTCTGGTTGTAAGGGTAGGAGGGACAATCTTGTCTCAACTGGTTTAGGTTACATGTAAAATACGACAAACTGTGTCTGCAACATGTATTTTTAAGGAGAAATCCCTATTTTCCTTCTCATACATGTGGGCATACATGTGATTAATCCAATACATTATGGGATGAGACATCCACAGAGAGACGGTTATATAGCTGGAGAACTATCAATCAAAATGGAGGTGCATCCAAATTATACCCCTAGTAGCAAACTCCTCCTTTTCTTAAACCCCATTAGAGACTCTCCAAACAATAATCTGAACTTTTGAGTATTCTTACTCAAGGCCCACTATCAAACTTCAATTTTTAAATTGCTTTTATTTATTCATTTGTTTGTTTATTTTCGTTTCATGTCTCTGCATGTGGCGGTCACGCCCTGACCCCCAGTAGTTGCTTTTCTCCTTTCACCATGTGGATGAAACATGGATCCAGTGCAGACTGTCGATCTCAGAGGCAAGCACCCATATCCAATGAGCCCCCTGACTGGGCCCTGCTGCCAACCTTGACAACACACCTCTTTTTTCTTTTCCTCCTTTCTTTATTCATTTTGAGACAGTCGCACTATACAGCCCCAGCTGTTCTGGCACTCACTATACAGAGCAGCCTGGCTTTGAACTCGCAGAGATTGGCCTATCTCTGCCTGCTGGGTGCTGGGATTAAAGGTGGGAGCCCCCAGGCCTGCTAACAGGGCATTCCTGATACACATTATCACTCTGTTTTTAATAAAGTATTTGTACTCCTTTTCAAGCATTTCTATCTAGTTCTTGAACAAGATGCCAAAAACCTAGATACACCCAACCCAGACTCCCAACACTGACAATTCCAAATAATAAATAATAAAAATGACATTTTCATATAAAGTTGAATTTTATTTGCAAAAGATTATATAAACGACAAACATCTGAAACAAAGTAAAACAGAACACATAATGTGAGCCAATAGAAAATGGGATAAATGACATTAATGGGAAAATATCATAAAAGACCAAATCCAAAAGGATAAGAAAAGCAAGAAAATGTCGGAGCTTTCAAGCAATTAAGGGAAATGCAAACTGTACCAACAACACTGAACTATCGTGTTTGGTGTGGGAAGTCCTTCTGTATGTGTGTTGCTTTTATTGGTTAATGAATAAAGAAGCTGCTTTGGCCTGTGGTAGGGCAGAACAGAGCTAGGCAGGGAAAACTAAACCGGATACTGTTTATTACAGGACCGGGTGGGACAGAAGACTCTGCCAACCCAGGTTCTCTCCATTAGACTGGCAAAGATGAAAAGCAACTGACAGCTTGTGGGAACATTCTCTTCATCTTCATTGTTCGAGCCACAGAGTGCTTTCCTGGCGAGCAGCTGGCAGTGCAGCCAGCCCCGAACTTCCTCTCCAGAACGCCCGACTCCTGCAAATCAAAGCAAATGTATGAGACTTTTTATTATGGCACTGTCAGCAGCAGGCAGGAATGGGAGAAGAGCTGAATGCCCATTAGTGAGAGAATGGCTGCACAACCGTAATTATTTACTGCAGGCTAGCCAGCCATGAAAACAAACAAATTAAGAAATTTACCAGATGACTTGGAGAGATTTCCATGAGGAACTGAAAAATGCATCATGCATGAGCGGAGCAGTTTCATGACTGTCAAACAAAGGGAGTGTGTGTGTGTGTGCGCGTGTGCGTGTGCGCGTGTGCGTGTGCGCGTGCGTGTGCGCGTGCGTGTGCGTGTGTGCGTGTGTGTGTGTGTGCGTGTGTGTGTGCGTGTGTGCGTGTGTGTGCATGTGCGTGCGTGTGCGTGTGTGTGTGCGTGTGCGTGTGCGTGTGCACACGTGCACTTGTAAGCAGAGGTCAGTGCTGAATGAGTGTCTTCCTCAGTTATTCTACACTTTTCATTTTGAGACAGAGTTATCTCAGTGAACCTGGAGCTCACAGATTCAACTAGACTGACCTTGAGTCCCAGGAATTATCCTGGCTTTCCCTCCTGCCCCCCTCCCCGCTCAGTTCCAGGACTACAGATGTCTACAGATGTGTGCCTCTCTTTCTGAGCTTTTTTTTTAAATGTGGATCCTAGTACTTGAACTGAGGTCCTTTTACTTGTGTGCCAGACACTTTACCACTTGAGCAGTCTCCTCCTCCTAAAATCTTATTGTCAAATAGTTTCTTTCTATGGAACCTAAGCTGGCCTGATATTTCAAGCATTTTGAAGCTTTGGTCCATTCACATTTTATTCTCCCAAATCCTTGTTCACTCTTTGACAGTTTAGCTTCCATCTCCATCCTCAGAAAAACTTCTGTGGTCAGTCACCAATAATCTCAGAGTCGCCAGAGAGACTCGCCACTTTTCAACGTTTAGCCCAATAGTTCTCTAAGCAGTAAAGTTCACTTTGCTGATACCACATGTGCCTCCTGGCTTTCCTTGACTCTTTGGTTGTTTATTCTTGTGTGTGTGTGTGTGTGTGCGTGTGCAAACAGGTGCATGTGTGTGTGTGTGTGTGTGTGTGTGTGTGTGTGTGTGTGCATGTGTGGAGGCCCAAGGGTATTGTTCCTTAGGTGCCATCTCTTTTTAATTGTAAGACCGGGTCTCTCAGCATTCTAGACCTCACCAAATAGGCTATGCTGGTTGGCCAGTGAACCTCAGGGATTGATCTGTCTCTGCTCCTTCAGGGCTTGGATTTCATATACACACTATCATACCAGATGAACTTTTTAAAACTTATGTGGATGTTTTACCTGCATGTGTCATGTGTGTTATGTGCTCTTAAGGGAAGAAGTAGGGAACAGGATGCTCTGATGCTGATATTGCAGACAGCTGCCAGATGCCATGTGGTCCTTTGAAAGAGGCCCCCGTGTTCTGAGATGAACCATTTCTCTCTACCTCGCCCCATCCTTCTATGCACGCTTTCCTTGGGAGCATGCACAGGAACCTGGAGATCAAACACCCGTTCTTGTGTATGCACAGGAAAAGGTTTACCAGCTGAGATACCCACCTAGCCCTTTGTTAATGTCTTGACTTTAAACAAAATAATCTTGTGCTTAGTCTTGAGTCTCCTTAGGTCTTATTTTTCTGTTAAGAAACATACTTCCTTAAGACTTTGAACAGCGTCCAATTCTTTCTTGGAGGAAATACAACTTGCGGACACTAGAGGTCGCCACTGTATCATAAAACACATGGCCTGTCAGGGGACACCCTTAACATCGTCTTCCAATACAACAATGACGGTGTCTTATTCTGAGAAGCGGGAAGGGAGTGGGCTGTGGAGAAAAACTACAGTCTGAAGAGACTGGTGAGCCATTTCTGGTTTCTGAGGGTGGCTGTCACCTGCGGGTGTTTTGAAATATCGACTTGAAATCTAAGTAAATACCCGGCGACTTAGAGTTTCCACTTGGTTTTCAGATTTTTATCTTTGTTCAAGCATCCAAACCTTCTCACAGCCTGAAGCCCTGGAAACACAACAAAACAAAATTCAACAAAGACAGAATATGTGGTGGCTGTTACACAAACTGCTGAGAAATGATTGTCCCTCTGGATTTCATGTTGGTAGTCCAGGATTAAACTTGAGGTAACGGAGTGGCTGATCTCATATTTAGAATGTATGTAATTTAAGATTATTCTGGCACTGGGGAGGTGGCTCCATTGATGAAGCATTGGGACCTGAGTGTGATCTCCAGAACCCCGTGTTCAAGGCCAGACATGGTGACAGGTATTTGTCATCCCAGTGACGGTGAGGCGGGAGGTGGGCAGATTAGATCCGGGAACTCCTTGCCCAGCTAGCCTAGGCTGTTTAGTGAAGTTCCAGGCCAACGAGAGACCCTGTGTCAAACAAAAACTGGCAAATGCCTGGGAAGCAGCACCCCACATGTGTACCCCCCACACCATGATTCTAAGGGCATGAATGGATGCTCAGTCTCTTGATCCATCCATGCTGGTCTGGTCCCTCTTCTCTGGTGTTGGTTAAGACCTTGAATTTCCTGGTCGCCTCAGCTGGGCAATCAAGTGGTCAGGTGAGCAGTCAGGTGGGCAATCATCACTTTTGGTGGGGGAAGAGCATGATGATTTCTGTCACTTGGAGTCCTTCCTGTTTTCACCCTACCCCACCCTCCAGCTCTTACCCTTGCCTCCTGAGCATCATTGAACTTGAAGGTCCTTTGTATTATCACTTACGTGCCTGACTTCTTGACGTGGACTGCTTCCTCACAAGGGTTTCAGGCCCTTCACTGTCTGTTTTTGTGTCTATGAGCCACCTATGATTCTCGCAAATGTGTTTATTCTGAAAGTCTATGAGGCAGCCGCTTTAGACTGTCATTTTCAAAAGAACAAGGTTCTTTCTTTTTAAATTAATTGTGTGCTATTTGCATTTGAAACACGAGAGAAGCCCTGGTTTCAACTAACAATCAAGACATGCCCACAAGCCAGTCTGAGCTGGACAATATTTCAATTGACACTGCCTTCTCAGACCCAAGGCTGTGCGAAGCTTGCAGTTCAAGCTAAATAGGACACTTAAGACACTGTGGAATCCATTCTCCTCTGTGCCCCAGGACAGCCTGTGGTGTCTTTGCTCCTCACAGGAGTCGGGAGACAGAGCCTAGTCTGATTCCTTCTTTGTCTCCATCCTCTCCTTTCTTCTCTCCATCCCTTGCCAGCCGCTCTCACTGCCTGCCACTATTTATCCAACTCTATCTGCCCCCACCCAGCTCCTGGCGTGCAGCTCAGGAAGCCCTGTGACTTTCCAGCTGTACTCTCAAGGCTTCTTACGGAATCACAGAGGTTAGAGGGACAATTGAAGATGAAATAAGTTAATTATAGTATTTCAAAAGCTCTATAACTGCCTCTGATAATGGAGTCATATTTTTGTGTTTATTTAGATCCAAGAAATTTTTAGCTTCCCAAGGAGTTACTTACATGTTCTTTATCTTTCATCTGTTATATATGTATGAAAAATGCATACATGTTTTCTATCTATCTATCTATCTATCTATCTATCTATCTATCTA